ACGCTTTTAAAAGGGATGGGCCTTACAGTTTTTCCACATGTGGCCCCTTTAGTGGTCCCTATGTGAGCGTATCAGATCCTTGCTTGAATCTTTGGGACGAGGAATCATCAAGTATTTCTTTATCTTCCAACCTCAGCTCTTGTATTGCAATTCAAGGAGAGTTATCTGGAGTTTCGAGTGAAACAAAGTCTTGAAAATACAGGATACCGCCCCTAGGTGTTCTGAATCTCTTTGGATTTCCGATTTTGTTCCTCCACCACTCACCTTTTGAAGTTTTAGACGATCTAGGTTCTTAACAATGTTCCGTCAGGCTAATGTTTCTTTTAACACCACTTTGACTCAAGGGGAGAAAGAGAAGATGTTTAGAGAGAAAAGACTTTGTAGAGTAGTTTGTAGAGTAGAAGGAAGGAGAGAACTTTTTTTTCTTCGCCCCGGGGTCCCTTTCGGGTGTTTAGTCCGGTAGCCATTTTTTCCAACACTTAGGGTTCCTTTCGGATTTTCAACTTAGTGGATTTTATTTTTATTTTTATTTTTATTTTTATTTTTATTTTTTTTATCGCTCCAGTATCCCTTTTGGGTGTTCAACCCAGTAACTGTTTTTCCAATGCTTGAGGTTCCTTTCAGATTTTCAGCCTAGCGAATTTTTTTTTTTTAAGAAGAAGAAAATAGTGACAAAGGAAGAGGGGGAAGACGAAGAAGAGTCAAAATGTGCCCCCTTTTTTTTTTTTTAGCAACTCACCTTAAGATCATGTAAGAATTCGATCATCGTTTCCTCCTCCAAGTGGTGGGGAGGTTCAAATATTGGTCTTCCTCTGATTTCCCTTAACCCAGGTTGGCTTCCAAAATCTGTTTAACAATGGTTGCTGAGTCTCTGTTGAACTTTTCCTTTAAACTGCTCCACTTGAACCTTGATTTTGGGGCAACAAATCACTCTTAGTTTCCTAATCCCTCAGTCTTCTGTATGGACAGATAGGCTCATCAGGGTTTTCTTGTTAATGTAGTATTTGATGTTACACATTAGGCGTTAATGCCATTTGAATTATGAGGCATAAATGCCTCATTTGGTTATTTGAAAGGGGTGAGTGATCACCCAACTCATTTTCGATAATATTTTTCATTGCAAATTTTGAATTGCTTTTAGAATGTTAACTTCGTAGTAGGCTCCTGCTCAATGCTCGAGCTTAGGTGAGACTCTTGCACTAGAAGAGTGATTAAGTTTGTATCAGATGGCCTTATCGCATGTTGGGAGTCAAAGGAGAATTTCATTAGTTGCCCTTATTGTATCCTCTTCATGAGAGGAGTTTGCCCCTATTGAATATTTTGATGGGGTTTCCCCTGCAGGGCTTTCTATTCCATTGAGAACTTGCTCTTCATATGATGAATTCTCTTGATATGGTAGTGCTCCGGTTATCAGAGTTGTGCTCATGTTGTTAATGACTTTTAGAGAGCCTACCTCTTGAGGAGGTAACATGGTCGGATTTTCAATAACCAATTCTTGATCCCAGATATCTTGTGAAGGTGGTCCAGGTTGGCCCCTTAGAATTTCTAAAGGTTCAAGCTCTATCAACTCTAGTGAAGATACCAAATCTTTAGGAATAGTTAAATTTGGGCTCTTTGCTTCTCCATCATCTATAACTGGGTTCACCTCAAGAGGTGACTCGGTTAAATCTTCTAAGCTTGACTCCTCATCCCATATAGGTTAGCGAAGAAGTCTAGTGTGGCCCAGGTGGGCCCCTTAGAATTTTCAAAGGTTCGACTTCTTTTGATATTTGAGGTGTTAGCCCTTTGTTTGGAAGCGTAATGAGAGACTTTGGGGTGTTGACCCCTTGTTTGGAAGATGATCCATTCTCGTTGATCTGGATCACATCAATTTCTAACACATTGTCCTCATCATATTGATTCCTCTTAGGTGGGTCGTTTAAGTTGTGGGGTGAAGGGCTTCCTTTTAGCACTTGCTCATTTGACCCCTCACGAGTTATTGTCCCAGACTTAAGATTTTTCTTGTCGCCATGGGCTTGGAAATCCATAGCTTCAAAACCTTGGTTGAGCTTATGCTCGAGTTCATATTGTTCTTGCGAGTTTGATTCATTGCCACACATGTGCGAACCTTTTATTGTGTTAACTTGGAACTACGTGTTGAAGGGTTCATATGCCCTAGTGTGGCTCTCGATGATGGGGATTTCTTGTGCCACTTTTGGGAGTGTATATTGGAGTGAAATTTCATTTGCGATACCCCTTTCTTTTCCTCTTTCTTCGATTATGGGCTTGGAGCTAAGATCATCCTTGCTGCTTTGATCTTTAGTCATTAACTCCTGGGTGAGGTTATGCTCATTTTGTTCTTCATCTACTCGACTTTTCAGTTGATTTATTGTTGTACTCTAAGTCCTTTGTGGATGCTCCTCGGGTTTGGGCGCAACTTGTGATTATCTTGAGTTAATCAGGTTGACATCATATTTGTTTGTTGAAGCATCTAGAGTTTCTGGTTTTTCTATGTCATCAGCCTCTTTCTTTCTAACACTTATCGTGCAAATTCCCTTGGTGTAGGCACTTGACATTCCTCAGTGTTATGGGCATAGTTTTGATGCCAATCGCACCATTGAGATGTATCGCCTCCATGAAAAGGAGGAATCTTGGCTTCTGTCGATAATTCTATGAGCCTTGCCTTAAGCAACTTCATCATGACATCATATGCTCATCAATAGGAGTAAATTCCCTTGGTGTAGACATCTGCAGTCTCCATGTGGTAGAATGAATTTAGTCTTTCACTGTGAATGATTTGCAAAAAGATTGCTTCTCTTGATAATGTTCACTTCTCTCTCTTGAGAGGGTTTTTTGGCTGCGGCCTTATCTTCCTTGGCTTTATCATACCGTGATACTCTTTCAAGAATATCATTAAATGAGTAAGGGACTGCCCCCATACTGAAGAACGTGACATATTATTGAGTCATGTTCTCTAATACCAGGCTTACCTTCACGGCTTCAGGGAGTGGAGTTTCAATAACCCGCATAACGGTCTCTCTGAATCTGGTTATAAACAGGGAAGGAGACTTGCCTGACTTTTGCTTGGTGGAAGTTAACTCACCAAGGGTGACGAGTCTTGGTGTTCCTTCATTATAGCGAGAGGAAAATTGCCTGAACATTTCGTCAGGAGTTGCTTGAGGGTCATCATTCATGAATCTTCGGTGCCACATCAAGGGTTCTTCTGATAAGCTATGTGAGAACATGACCTTAAGTTGGTTGGGTCGGTCTTGCAGTGTGTGAACCATCAATAAGTAGGTGTTGATGTGTGCCTCATGATCCTCTTTCCCTTGTTTATGAACAGTGGCATCACAAATCCCACTGGTAGATCTTCTAGGTGTCATAGAATTTCTTGTACATAGGCTTTACGAGTTGAGAAATCTCATATTCCCATTTTCTTTAAAGACTCTTGAAGGTGTTTCATGCGAGTGAATTGAGCCGCCGTTATAGCAGTGAGCTGGCTCAGTTGTATGGTCTGTTGAACCTGACTTTGTGGCATGTGGCTCGTATAAAATGGCTGTTGCGCCCATGTAGCGGGTTGCCTCAAGGATTGAGCCTGAGGTTGAACTTGAAGTGCCGATTGTCGGCTTGTAGACTCACTCGAGCTGAGTTGGGTCAGAGCATACCCATTACTCGGAGGTTGCACAACTTGGCCACACAATGAGGCCTGCGGGATAGGATCACTACTTAACTGGGATGGACGACTCAAGCTGCTATGACGACTAGACCTCTGACCTCAGGTGGCTAGGTCTACCTGACTCTGACCTTGGTTGAATGATTTATCCTTAGGGTTAGGGTATTTTCTTTCCTTAACACTGGACTGAAAGAGTGAAGAAATGTCAGAGCTACTGCCAGATGGAGTCTGCCCTTTAGGTAGTCTTGGGCTCAAGTGATGATTAGAACTAGACCTTTAGCCCGTAGTGAATTGGATTAGCAGGCTAATAGCCTTAGGATTATCCTGGTTTGAGCCAAAATGTTGGACTTGGCTTAAGGCTTGAGCTTCTGACCTGACTTTCATGGATGGAATGCGTTGGATGGTGTATCCTCTATTGAGCAGGTCTTGAAAGTAAGCATGCACTTTAGGATTGTCTTTATATCGAGTTAGGTCAAAATCCTGATCTTCACTAGTGATGGGTTGCTTGGGTAGACTTTGCCTAGTTGTATGTGAACCCGCTTGCCCACTAACCGGCTGATTGTCAAGACTAGAGTGTTGGGCTGCTAATTGACCATCAGGGTTCACACGGCTGAGATCGGCTGACTCAAAGATTTGGGTCTTGTGCCGACTGGATTTGAGGTTAACCCCTATGTCTTGGAGGATTGCCCCCGGCCTTACCCCTTGACTATTCAGGGTAGTATGAACCTTATCAACCTGTTGGCTCGTGACTTCTAAAGGGTGGCCTTAAAGGTAGCTTAGATGGCTAGGTTTGGTTCTATGTAGGTCGAGAGTCGGCTCACTGACACGAGTGCTATGGATGATTGTAAGAGAACACTGTGACGATGCCTCTTGGACTGACTAGGTTATCTGGATCTAGACTGAGCTGGGGCCATAGGGTTGGACCTTGCTCCACTATGATCTTGGGTCATGATTCCTAGACTCTGTGAGATCTAGACTCGACGCTTCAGGTTAGACCTAGTCTGACTCTAAGGGAAAGACCTAGGCAAATGTCACGACCCCGCCCTTGACCCCATACCGTACACCACCAAAGTACGTCCGGGCGCGGGATCGTGATCACAGAGGTCGTGAATGTCACTCAGGTGGGAATGGTTCAACACATAAAAGACGGAATCAAGAGCAAACTACAAAAATGTAATATAAAAACCATACACACAAAACAAATACTTAATCCAAAAGTAAGATCATAACCATATACATTCATTCTCCAAAATCTCTTTACAAACAGTTTAAGGCACTAAAGACGTACAAAAGATACACGGTTAACACATAACACACACATCTTAGTGGCCCACCCACCAACACTTACTATGAACAGCTTCTGCATTAACCTTCCTTCAAAACTCAAACTCCAACCGATCGGTACACGAGCCCGCTGCCTGTCTTCTAGGTCAATACTGTCACTCTACAATCATGAGAAAGAGATGGGATGAGCTAACCGCCCAGTAAGTAGATCTACACCATTGCATTTCGACCTTAACGGTAACAGCAATTAACAGTTCTCACTAATTTACACAGGTATCAAGAAGATTTCTCTATTCATATCCATCAGTACCTCAACAGTGTGCGAGTTCATATAGTTCAATTATAAAATAACATGCAGCGTATACGCCATCAATCATTTAATTTATAACAAAACAGTAATGCTAACAAGCCCAATTTCACACAGTAAGAGCTAGAGGAGCCTACTCTTGAAATAGAAGTTCCATTGATCAGGCCAAGCTAATCCTGTAGCTTGGAACCTCTATCCTTGTTTAGGAGGGAAGACAATAACAAGTGGGTATCCCACTTCATACTGTCCTCACACATACACATACGTACATCCCAAGCGCGCTTTGGAGTATTTGATAGGCAATGGCCTTGCAAGACACGATCCTCTCCTTGTACCCTTTTGACGAGAGAGCGTTACACTACCATTGGGTGACCCAATGCGTAGTGCCTATATAATTTTGGGAGGTGCGGCCCTCCCAATTTTCACATTAACATCCTATCTCTTGTCCTATCATGGGGAGTTAGGGAAGGATAACAACTGTCAGCACCATTATTCACACAGTAGGTGCCCATTCACATAATACATAAACCACACGGTACCATCATTCACACAGTAGGTACCCATTCACATAAGCAACATAGTATCACATTATGAAGATATCAGTATCTCATCATAATAGCAGTAATATCACATTTTAACAGTATCACAGTGGGTCACACTAACAGTAACAGTAGCAATATCTCCGTGACAGTGGCAATATCACAGTAAGGCATTACAGCTCAATTTCTTGCATTCATGGACAATAACATGCACTCACAATCAGGGTCATAAATTTTGGTCCAATTAGCATTTGAAGATGGTTCTAAAACCATTTTTTTGCACTAAATACACCTGTCCTCTAAATAGAATTGGTTTGAAGACAATTGGACTCCATTTGACCTCTCAAAGGTTTAAAGAGGTGAGGGTTAACTAGCTGCACCCTACTATGTATAGTGAACAACAACATACCCCTCTTCAAATCGTTATAACTTTCAAACCGTGAATAATTTTGAGATAATTAAAAAGTAACAGTTCAAGCCAAGACATATACCTTTCTAACAAGATTGATTTGAAAGCATTTGGACTCTATTTGATTGTTCAAGAGTCCGTGCCAAACACAGCGATGGTTTTAGTTTTTATTAAAACTGCGCACAGTGACATCTCCTCATAAAACGGTGCATAACTTCCAATATAAGAGGAATTTCAAAATAGTTTATTCATGCAAATTTTTGCCCACTCGATTATCTTTCAAATGACTATGGTTTGACAGAAAATGGACTTCATTTGGTCAATGGAAACTAGTGCCCACAGAAGGGTTAGTGCAAATCCAGGGAAAACAGTCAACAGTGACCTACACATACATTTTTAAATATATATTCATTTTCGTAAGAAATTTCAACAAGGGGAAGAAACAAACATTTTACTAGACTCGCATATATTTCCAATGGCAGTGGTTTGACGTAAAACGGATATCATTTAGTTATTCAAAAGTCCCTTTACAAAATCATGTATTTTCCTGGAATTTTACAGTGAAGTTACACATGCTTCAAAAACATGTTCCAAAATCTCAATCTCATGGTAAAGGACATGCTAGCAGCTATTATTTCACAATATACACACAATAACATGCATTCCAGCCATTATCTCACAATATACACATAATAACATGCATTCATTTCAGAATTTATAAATCACACATTCATTTTCAGTACCCATATTCAACTTTGAACAAAAGTCCCCAATTTTCATTAAACAAGGCATAGAAGCCATCACATTGCATACACTTTTCTTACTCTTTTCCTAAGCATATAGGTTCATACATTCTCATAGCTACAATACAATGGTGAGGAGTCCACTTACCTAGCAAGCAATACCGTCTCCAATTTCCCCTTTCACAATCCCCTCAAGCTTCTAACAATTGCTTCGTCAAGGGAGCAGCAATGAGCTCAAGGGTTGGCTCTAGAGAGAGAGAGTGTGTAGGAAATGAGTGGCATGAGAGTGAGTGAGAGGGGCTTAAATACTCTTATGTTTGGGGTGGTGGTCCAAGTGTCATCAAAAGACTTAAAATCTGGACAAGTGGCACTTACATCAGTATGCATCTAATAAGTGGCATTGTCAATCTATGCATGTCAAAACCCAGCTGGTGCTAGTCTCTCTCTCTCCAGCTGGCGCTGCCCTTCAACTGGGGCTGACCTCTCTCAATTGGCGCTGGCCTCTGTCTCAACTGGCGCTGGCCTCTGTCTCTTCCTCAACAGGCACATGCCCCTGTCTCAACTGGCACTGGCCTCTATCTCTTCCTCAACTGGCATTGGCCTCTGTCCCAATTGGCGCTGGCCTCTGTCTCAACTGGCGCTGGCCTCTGTCTCTTCCTCAACAGGCACAGGCCCCTGTCTCAACTGGCACTGGCCTCTATCTCTTCCTCAACTGGCATTGGCCTCTGTCCCAATTGGCGCTGGCCTCTGTCTCTTCCTCAACCGGCGTTGGCCTTTGTCTCAACTGGAGCCGGCCTCTGTCTCAACTGGCGCTGACCTCTGTCTCTTCCTCAACCGGCGCTAGCCTCTATCTCAATTGGCACTGGCCTCTGTCTCTTCCTCAACTAGCGTTGGCCTCCGTCTCCACTGGCACTGGGCTCTGGGTCGTCACAGCTAAGACTAGACTGGAACCTAGACTTGCTAGATTCAATAGATTTTGGTTCAGACTCTGAACTAGGGTAAGCCTAGTCTAGCTCTAGAGACAACTCTATGCTTAGACTTATGCTAAAAACTAGATTAAGATCTAGACTAGATGGTGCACGAGTCTCGGCTCGGACCAAGAGTGGGTCTAGGTTTGGAGGGATAAGCAACTCTAATGTATTTTTTTTATTTTTTTATCTTTTTAATTTTGATGAAATACAGTTAAACTAATCATAGTGAAAGTAGGGAAAATACGATTTCAGTCAAAAATAACAAACTAAAATAAAATCAAAAGGGAAAAAACAAAACAGATCTATCTAAAGCAAAATACATTTTTATATTTTTTAAAATTTTATTTTAGGTAAAACACTGGTCAACTGGGTGCCAAAAGTCCCTGGAATGGTCTTGTGGGCTCTCAGAATATTTCTAGGATACTTGAAATTGGGCGACATTGGTGGTGTCGCCTAGGCAGCACTACTGGTGTCACCCTTGCAGAGTGGGCGACACGGCTGATGTCGCCCAAAAAATTTAATTTTTTAAATTTTTTTTTTTTATATTATTAATATTGATGAAATAAGACTAACTTAATCTTGAAAATGTAGGAAATACTATTTATGATGAAATAAATTAAAATAAAGTAAAAACTGAAAGCCTAGATTGAATTGAAAAATAGTTTTTTGTATTTTTAAAAATTTTATTTTGATCTGAAGTTTTTTGTGCAGTCACAAAAGAGACCCTAGAACATATCCACAAAGTTTTAGAGGTTTTTGAGACCTTTGAATTTGGGCAACACTGGCAATGTCACCCAGAAAACCAGGGTTTCGGTTCGGTGGATTCTGGTCACAGACGAATTTTTAAGATATTTTGTGACTGAAAACAGTGAAAAGCATTGAATAAAAGTTGTATTTTGATGCTTGGATCAAGCTCGAAATAACCTCTCGGTGGGTGCCAAACTATTTACGATGAAAATCTGACAGATCTTCCGTAATTAAGATCTCTCGAATTTTAATACCTTAAACTAATAAAATAGATGTAAATAAAGTGGTAGAGAAAGTGGAACTGATCGAATTCAGATCTGAGGCCAAATCTGCCCGAAAACGAGCAGATCTACTCTCAGATCTGTGGTAGAGCCAGCATGATCCAAAGCATTAAAATACGATTTTAAGACAAAGTTAACAGATCAAAATAAATAAAAACAAAAATAAAACAATAAAATAATAAATATGAGAGAGGAACAAACAATACCAAACCAAGCCGAATAGTCTGGGGTTCTTGAGCCTTCAAGGGCTCGCCTGCATCAGAACCGGTCCTCTTTGCCTCTCTGATTCGGATGTTGACCAGCAGATCTCTGATGTAGAAGGGTTAGATCTAGGATTGTTGTGCTCTAAGTCTAGTTTTATTCTAAAGTTGTTGTACCCTAGGTCTAGGTTTTTTCAAGCTTGGGGGTTAGGGTATCAGGAGGTTAGGGTTTTTGTCTTTCTGAAACTCTAAGGTTTCAATCTCTATTTGTTTCTCTATGTTTCTCTCGGGTCTGGAGGAGATTTTACTTAGTTTCTAAGGTTTTGTAATTTTTAGAGGTTGAATATGAGTTCTGATATTTTTTCTATTGTTTTGAGATTTTTTCTAAATTTTTAGGAATTTTCTAAGATTTTTCCTATTTTTGGGTAATTTTCCTAATTTCATGAATTTCTAAGGTTTTTTTGGTCTCTTTTTTTTTCTCTTTTCTCCTTTTTGGTTAGGGAGAGAGGGCATTTATAAGATTCAATTGGTGATTTTTTCTAAATTTTTTGGAGTTTTTTTGAATTTTTTTGGATTTATCTTGAAGTTTTAACCTTATCTAATTAAAGAAAACACGTCTACTGGGTCATCAGACGCGTTGAATGCATCATCAGCCCACGTCTGGGCCTGTCGGGCTCGTTACAGCTCGACTCGTGGCTTGACAGTTGGGTCTCACAGCGACTAAATTGTCATTTTTATGTTGTTTTGTCCGTAAGTTAGATTCAAGCGATTCTTGGACTGTTGGAAAGCTCTTGGGCTCTACTTTAAATTGGGATAGGATTTGGGTAGTTTTGGGGTAATTAAATTGGGTCTACTAGGATAATGTGGTCATAAGGGTTTAGAAAACCATAGAATTTGTTAGATTTAAAATGGGGTGTTTACAAAGTGCGATGTTGCCCATGAAACATGCAAGCAATCTTGAGAGAGAGAAAAATTTCCACTTGGACTGTTGCGCGCTTGGCAGCATCGTGCACGACGATGACGCACACAGTGGCGTCGTGCACGGCGATGACGCACACAGTGGCGTCGCACACTGCGGCAACGCACACGAGGGTGTCGCTCATGACGGCAATGCACACGGTGCCGTCACACATGGCGGCAGCGCTGCGCGCTCGGCATCATCTGTGCGCCAGATCATTCGTGCCGACGACTCGCCGGCGCACCACCATATGCCGAAAAAGTCCGGATCCTTACACAAGACCTGGCCCGCAGGAGACAAAACCTGACTAGGGCAACTACTGGCTGAGGCAGCTGCTGCAGGTGGTGGTTCTCTCTCTCTTGGCGGAGGGGTTGGCTACTGCTGGCACTGGCTGAGCATATTGCTAGTCTTTTCTCTCGAAAGGACATGAGGTCCAAAGGTCGCTGGAGCTTCACGGTGCTAGCACAAGGTAAAGGTGGTGGCTAGGGAGGCAGCAACGAAGGCACTTTCTTGGTGGTAATGGTGGCTGGAGACACGGCGGCGAAGGCCCGTTTAGGAAACCCTAGCAAAGCGATGATTCCAGTTTCCTCAGTTGATGTTGCGTCCCTCTTTGTGACTTTAAATTTTTTAATATACCCCAAGTTGTACAAGCAACTCTGTGGGTGACGTGGAGTTACTTGCCCTAGTGGACTCGGGCAAGTCCTGTGGCACTGCTCAATCTTAAAAGAAATCAAACTAAACACTTTATTGGGACTCTGACTTAACTGAGTAACTTGGCTTCACCCTTAAAATATTTAAAATTTTAAAAATTTTATAGAAATAGAAATGTGGGATTGATTTATCATTTTCTGTGTATGATTTATATGTTTTTTGGGCAAAGATTGGTGAGCGTTTTTTTGTCATAAATCCCTATTTCTATGTTTTTATCTTTTTTTAGATTTTTTAACCTTAATCTATTTTTGCTCTATTCATTTTCCCACTACTTTTAAAACCTAATTTGGGATCCTTAAGAAGGTTTTTATTTTTATTTTTATTTTTTTTTGTTATACGTTTAGCACATTTTCGGTATATTTTGAATTTTTGTGATTTTTCAATTTATTGAGGGCCCGGTCTCGGTTGAATTACTATACTCGGACAAAGTGTCGAGTACCTTGTCCGAATCCATTTTATGTACAGTGAAAGTAAATAAACACAATCCGCACATAATCAGCATCCATTAAAACAATCCGCACATAAATAAACACAATCAGTATATAATCAGCATCCATTAAAAACAAAACGGAATAAAAGGCGAAGAATAAGCGACCTTTTTCTAAAACAAAGCCCTAAAAGCCGACCTTTTTCTAAACAAAGCACCTTAAAAATAAATGCTTTTTAGATAACTGACCACCATTCTTAACACGTGACTAAAGGGGCAATGGTCTCTACGATATTGGAACATCGAGACCAGAACCTCCTATTTGATACTATGTCGTCCACTTTTAGCCTGGTACTGGACTTTGAGAGGCGGTTATTTAACCACTCTTCGCTGGTAAACAATCTCTTTATTGCACCTTTAGATTTTCGAATGGAGTCCACAGCCCAGTAATCTGTTGCAAAGCGGGTTATGGCAGGCTTGATTATCTCTTTTTTCTTAGACTGTTCTCTGTACAGAAATAAAATTTTAGAATGGTTATATATAAATCTCGACACCAACCTCGCTTCCTGTAGAGTCTCCTTCACAATTTTGATCTCACCGATCTCCTCTAACATAAGATTGATGCTGTGTGCAGCACACGGGTCCATACTAGATGCTTCCTCTTATCCATCAATTTGCTGTCCGCAGGAACACATGCACGCGCATTGTCCGTAATAAACTGGACTACGTGCTTATCGCCCACCTCCTCCACTATCTGATCATATAGTCGTACGTAGAAGTTTGCATCCTTCTTCGTCCTTGATACGTCCTTGCTAGATAAAAAAGATGTACCTTTTGGAGAATAGGCCAAGAAGTTTACAAACTCTTTTTTGCTAACTTTATTCAACTAACCATCACTCAGAAGAGTAATGCTTGTTCTTGGCCAACTCTGCTTATATTCTTCAATCCACTTTCTAACTTCCTCCACCTCTTCATCCAATATTGGCCCACTGAGCTCATATGCCGTCGGGGGTTTTACCCCAGGCTCGGCTCTCTGGATTGCGTTTACCATAGGTGGAAAATATTGGCTATTAGCTGCATCAAAGGGGATCCCTTTATCGTAGAACCATTTTCCTATATATCGGCCCAACATGTTTCTTTCACCATGCCTTTGAGGGTCATCTGTTCTGACTTAAGCTTTGAGAGAAATGGGTCTATATGATCATGACCTGCAATACTGACACTCCTAGATAAGCTAGAAACAATTTCTTCAACGTCTGATTCCTCTTGATACATATTGCCACCAACCCCTCCATACATATTTGAGCTGGGCCCGTCATACATGCTCGAGCTGGGCCCGCTATGCATGTCTTAGCTAGGCCTGCCATGCATGCCCATGTCATTACCACCAGGTATTCTAAATCCGCATTCCCTCTGGTATGTTTCATGTAAACTTATTCTTGTGGCCATCTCCCAGTCATTATTATACTACTCTTCTGGATCATTCCCGCTTGATGGCGTATATAAACTAGCTATCTCCTCATCCATCCTCTGCTTTGCAATTTTTTTACCTTTGGTAGCCTTGAGAAATGCCGCCATCTGTTTTCTTACATTATTAGGGACACTATTGCACGCAGAAACATCTCCCTTAACCCCTGCCAAGTGTTGCTTGAGCCTATGTACCCCACTACTTATCATTCTTTGGCAGTAATTAATTTTGTCTTTTTTGTTGGGATCAAGTCTGACCCCATGCAAGGTCTTCT